CAATGTAGTTGAGTGTTATTAGTACTCGTACTATTTCTGACGCTAACATTAGTCAGAGGTGACGCTGAGTAAAAAGTCCGCATGGGTCCCCATCCTCCCTTGATCTTAACAAGGAGGGCGAATCTGGGCTTATGCTATTCTGAGTAGATACATTTTTGAAGCCCGGAAAACATCAGGGCTTGCTTTGGTTTCTGTCCTTTCAACTCCTCCCACCCGGCTGTGCCTGTTTCCACTAAGTTTGGACTACGATGACTAGGATACTGTTGCTAGAAGAAAGTGCCTTTGCTCAAGTTCTAATTTTAGTAATCAAACTTAATAAGACCAGTAACAGGATTCTATGATACAGCCTGTGTGTGCTTTTAGGAAGTCGGCATCCAGTATGCACTCCCAATCTGTATGAGGTAAAAGTAATGGCTTGTGGGTTAAGGAAAGCGCTATTAAATAAATAGCTCAAATTTGTCATGCCTTTACGTCGCAAAGTAGTAACTTTTGCCGTCTATAGGCTAGCTGCAGGCTTACTACCGCATCCAGCTTCCGATATACAAGGCATAACCGCAGGGTACTGTCTTCTTCTACTACTACTAACTACCGGTGTATCGGAGTGTTAGTTGTACTGGTGCTACATCTGTCGCTATAATAAGTCTGAGTTGAAGCTAATCTGAGTCAACGCTGAGGCTCATTTCCCCTCTATCTGAACTAGGAGTGTGGATCTGGTTTAATGCTATTCCGAGTGGATGCATGTTTTGGTTTGGAGCACATCGTGGCTGGTCATGGTATCCGCCCTCTCAACTTTATCCACTGGACTGTGTCCGGCTCTACTTTGCTTGGACTATGAGGACTAGGTTACTGCTGATAGAAGTAGTACTTCAATGCTAAGACTGCTATAGTAGTAGCCATACCTACCAAATAGCAATGAAAAATATATTGTAATGCAAGTGCAGTGCAAATGGCCTTTGACTTACTACAGCATATAGCGATAGAAACAGACCAATAATCAGTGCCGTGCAGCTAATATGGCTATTAATACTGTTTCTGCTACCACTAACGAACTGGCAAACGCAGCTGAATGATAACAGTACTGACACTATTACTGACGCTAATCTTATTACTGTCTGGGTGGGTGGAACATGGTTCTGAATTTTTTGTAGGCCAAAGGGAGCTGAGTAGCAATGATGGCGGTGAGGCAGTATTTCCAGAAGTATTGAGGTCCATTGTAGTGCAAGGGCGATTTTTCCTACTACTGCTGCGACTCGTACTGTTACTGTATTGTTAATGCTGCTAGGTCTACATACTGATAGTACTAGTAGTTGCAGTGTTTTTACTATTTAAACTGATATTTGGAGCGTGCCAGTACCCTTTAATTGGGAATAATAAAGACCGTAAAGTGAAAGCACACTAAAAGTACGATTCAAAGGGCAACAGTATGACAGTACAGTAGCAAGCAGATATAGTAAGACAATAGAACAGTTCAATACAGTGCAACAGAAATGGTGCAATATTAGTGATACTGGTAATACTAGTGATGGTGGTAATACTAGCGATTTTAGCTCGTACATGCGAGAGGGAACTATTACCGTTTTAGACCTAACGAGCACGTAAATAAATACGTAGGAATTCGGCACCAGATAGGGATGACAATGGAAACCACCTGACTAATGCCTGCCAATATCTGGTGACTATATCTAGCGTCGATAAAGCCCGATTAACCGACAGAGCATCTAGGGTTTGGTCTGTCCGAGCTAAAAGAGAGTCATCTTTTGTAGTCATTAGGTTTAGCTTTCGGTGGAAAACGCACAGCCCCAGGGTACCGTCTTTCTGTTAGATTAGCTCAACTTCTGTCATGCCTTTATCTCGCAACGTAGCGCCGTTTGCCGTTTTCAGGCTAACTATAGAAATACTATGATATATAGTTTGGAATTTACAGAACGTCTCGTGTTTAAATAAGAGCGAAACCTGCTCAAGAATTAGCTTAGCATGACAGCATACTATTTCCTATACTGTATCAATATCTGAGTTGTAAGACAAGCATCTTATATTTGCAATAAGTATAAATGATGGGAATATGCACTTACAAGCTTCCTGTTCCTCAACAGAGGTGATCGGGTGAAGACCCTGGTTTTAGTGGTGTAGTTTTTCTCTGTACGGTGGAGACGA